GGGGGGGGGACGCGTCCACCCCCGGAGAACATGCCCTCCACATTTTTTTCCGATTGGGGGCTGGGCGGCCGTTGGGCCTCGTCCTGCTCCTCCTCGTCCGGGCGCCGCGGATTTGGTGGCATCGTTTTGGTCGCGCGTGACCTGGCCCCCGGTGCTCCGCGCGGGATCACACCTGCCCGGCGGGGGCGTGTGATGTTCATTTTCGTGCCCCGCCCGTTCGAGCGGCCCCGTCTCGGGCGTGTGCTCTCAGGGGGCGGTCTGCCGGGGGCGGCCTCGGGGGGACTCCGGGTCGGGAAAACACACGGGGCTGACACATCCACCGCGCGGCCGGGAGAGGGCAAGGGAAGCAGCGGCTGCCGGGGGGGGGGCCCAGCAAAGGGGAAAAGGACAGAGGAGAGCACAACCGGGTGTTGGCGCCGGGCTTTTCACCTCGACGCGGGGGTGCAGAGAGGCGCGCGGCGCCGAGGGGGGGGGGGCGGGCGCAGCAGCGCCGTCCTGTCTGCCCTGTGTCCCTCGCGCTTTTTCGGCGCAGGGCACGGGCGCGTGCATGTCCGCCGGGCATGCTTGCGGGGGGGGGCCCTGACATGGGGCGCGTGTTGGGCCGACTTCCCACACGGGGCGCCTATTAAATGGCTGGACCGGGCCGCAGTCGGCCCCCGCCCCTCCACCCCCCCTCCCCCCTTCGGCCCTTGCCCAAGAGCGGGCCTAGGCACTTTTGCCAGCGCACCAAGTTGGCTGGATGCCTCGGTAGGCCCTGCCGGCTCGCCGGCCTCCTCGAGCGTGAAACGGCCGGAGGTTGAGGAGGACTGGCGGTTCTGCGGGGCTTTTTTCCGTCCTGCATGGGGGCCGGGCCGCCCTTGGCTGAAACCTTTCGCCGGGGTGCTGGGCAAAAAACAACACTGCCCGCCCCCCTCGTGCCGCGCCGGCACCCCTCTCCGGGTGGACCCCGGCCGAACTGCCCGGCCGGTTGGCCAGCCACCCCCCCCCCCCCCCCCCCCCGGTCTGCGTCCCCCTTCATGCGCCGAGCCGGGCTTAATAGAGTCTAGGGCGGCACAGCCAGCCGCCCGGTCCGCCACCGCCCATCCAACACACGGGGAGGCCCCGGGCGGTGGCAGGATCGCGACCGCGGTCCATGGCGGGTGTGCTAGGCCATTGCGCGTGGGAGTTGAACGCCCCTCAAGAGCCTCCTTCTTTGGGCGCGAGAGCCCCGCCTGAGAGGCGCGTGAGACACAACCG